TCGATGCGCTCTCTCTCCCGTAACATGCTCTTTCCCCTCCTCATTCACCTTTTCTTTTTGTCCTTCTTCATTCTCGTTCTCCCTCTCGTACCGGCAGCGTCTTCGTCCCTGTCGGAAAGTTCTAGAAGGAATACCAAAGGGATACAGAATGCCCCTTAAGGACGCCGAGTAGTGTCCCAATGGCTTAACCATTGGTACTTTGTAGAAGCGATGCCTACTAGTCTCTTGGCAATCTTAAAAATTTCTCTTATTGTCATTATCATTCTATTATCACGATGCTCGTGTACCGCTCAACGGAATATCCACGTGACACTCAACCGAGCATATCTAACCGATCCGCATGGATGGGCGCTACCGTCACAGTATGCGGCCTGTACGTGTAACAGATGCTTTGATATATATTCGTATACAGTGTGTATACAGATTTAGGTACTTCGAAACTCCGCATAGAGGATGCTGATAGCATTACGAGAGTAGGCACGTAGTATGGCATAGTGTTCAGAAAGTAGTTTGTGTAGTACGAGGCGTGCTCGTGGCGGGTCCATGATACGTCTACTATAAGAGGCAATAAGGAGGAAGAAGAGGAAGAAGAGGAAGAGGAAGGACACAGCTACGAGGAAGAAGTAGTGGATGAGTAGGTAGAGTGTGGGTCCGAGTAGGAGGCAAGGGAAGCCGAAGCTGGGGAGTAGCAGTAAGAATGAGAGGAGGAGTAGGTGAACGCAGAAGAGAACCGGCCCGGCGGCCCCGAGAGGGACTCCCGGCGTCTTGCCGTCCTGAGCAGCGTCGGTGCGACACGATCAGCGTTTCTCGCTCGAATCAATTCGAATGCTCCAGAGCAGGACGTACGGAGAGGAGCGCTGGCGGGAAGGTGAGGTGGTAGCCTTATGGCGTGGTGGGGGAGACCTGGGCTCGTAACCGGAGGGGGCAGGAGTACCTGGTGGACACCTGGTGGGGATGACGTTGTAGCCGTAGAGGGATACTCCTATGTGTTCCGAGGCCTGCCTGGCTGCCGACCTGAGCGCTCAACCAGGCAATGCTTATCGGATCATAGCATCGCGGTGCTCGCACGTACGCCTGCCTTGCCTTTGCTTTGCTTTGCTTTGCTTTGCTTTGCTTTACCTTGCCTTCCCTTGCTTTGCCTCACTGACTGTGCCTGCTTACCTCGCTTACCGCTTACCTTGCAACCGACGCCTAGGTTAAGACTCGCTTTACAAGGGATCCAGGACGCTTCGCTGGAGCTCTGCTCTCTGCCGGAGAATCCAAAGAAAATGTTTGCCGACGTAATCGTCATCGACGATTATTATTGGACAATGATTTCACTTACTTTAGAATACTTGAGGCCTCTGTCGGATGACGATATCGGCAGATGACACAGGCAGGTCTAGGTTAATGGATAGAGATGCGATTATCGGATAACCCATTTGTTAGTACTTGAGGAAGGGATCTGTTGATCATTGAGCGTCGAAAGGCGTCGCGACGTCTCGGTTCGTTTCCAGTCTCTTTATGGTGATTGTTTATTTCTTGATCATAACCTGCTCGTAAACTGGTATGATTATCGCCTGGGTTATGTGACGCTGAGCCAGCATCGTGTTTCCATTTGAATTTCAATGATTGACCCTGGTCCTGAAATGGGATGATGGTTCTACGCGTAAAGTTTTTATTGCTACGGATTCTTGGGAAGGCTGAATTCTTGCATATGTTACTTGTGGATTTTTATTGTACCACGTTGCATAGACACTTTTCACCGTGTACCGTTACCTTAGTCATATATTCCATCAGCTCTGCTCTGCGCGTTATGCATCGCGGGTGTACTGATAAATCAACGGGCATGGAGCACACTCCACGAGAGTGGACTCTTCTTCTGGAGTACGGTGCCCTCGGGCACCTACGTGCATCACGTGTGTGCCCCGAGCCACGGGAGCCGGTAGGTGACTACCTTATTCGCGATTTATCTCGCGTGCTTCGTGCTGCCAGGAGCTTTTACTTCTGTGCCTTCTAGGGAATTGCCGGGATCAAAATTGATTCCCGTAGATGCCGCGGGCCTCCTTTTCCGGCGGATCCACCTTTTTATTACGCAATTCCGGGCTTTATGAGTTTCCACCGTGTAATTTCATTGAAAGTGCAATTCATTGGGATTTATCTATAAAGAGAAATTTTTCTAGCGATTCGACTTCCACGGGAATTGGATGATACCAGTGGATGCACAGGAATGACCTGGTGAAAGAAATGCCAACCGAATGTAGGACAATTCCATAATTCCTGAACCAGTTCGGAACCGCCATGTTCTGTCTTGCGAGCGTGCCAGGAGGAGTCCAGGATGTCTGTAGGCAAGAAAAGGAGAAACAAGACAAAGCGGATAGAAATGGTAAGTAAAGGAGAATAAGGCGCCATAGCAGCTAATGAACTACCATTAAAATAAATCTGATTGTAGAATCGCTAACCTGGAGGGCCCGCATATCCTTAACGGCGACCTGGGAATAATTGGCGTCATAGGTAAACGCTGCGGAAACTTCAGGAACTGCAATCGATCGGGTTTATCACGAGGACCACGAGGATCTTCCACGACTTGATTCATCTTCCCGTTTCCAAGAACCACCCTGGCCCACCTGTTGATCGTCCGAGTGACCCTTCCATACCAAACCGGAAGTCCATCCACCGGGCGACACTCGGCATGGCTGTCAGGTTCATCTCAGGCTAAAGATCCCAAGGATATTTTCCACTGGTAAATTTTATTTGAAAACAAATAATCAGATACCAGACACTTGGCTCTTATCAATGATTTTCAAAATTCATTTTTTTACTTTTCATTGGACCCGTCGATTCCTCCCTGATCCCGCAAGAACCCTAAATCGAATGGTGTTGGGAATTAAGAACATCGTAAGAACGGCTCGCACGCTTTAATTACCATTCAGGCCGGAGGGCCGCAAGAGGGCATCTCATGCAAGTATAATTTCCCTATACCGAAGGCTCATACCCACTCCCCTAGCCTCCTCCTCCTCATCCTCCTCCTCCTTCGACCCTCGTTCTCCACCCCCTTTAGACTTTTCCATCTCTCTCACTTTTCACAAGCATCCTCTCCCTTTATTTTTATCCCATCCTTCGTTCTCTCTATGGCTATACCTGTATATCTTACTCGTAGTGTCCTGTCTCCTTTGCTTCCCTCCCCGTTTGCCCCTCCCGTGAAACACCATAGAATAAGTAAGTCTCAGAACTCCCATACTCTTGCCCCATTCAAATCAACTCGAAGCCGCAGGCCCGCCTACGCGCAATCACGTTTCTCTCTAGCCCCATGGAATTATCCACCCTTTACTGCCTTTCTGTCTTTCTCTATCTTTAATGCACTCTCACATTCTTTTTTTCACATTTCAGAACACTGGCAATTCCGGATGTCTCCGCGCCCGGCATACATTCGTATAACCACCAGTGAGTACGATTTACAAATGAGAACTATCCATGAAAATCTAATCTTAAATCATTTCATACGTTATAACGTTTCTACAGGTACAGTATGCCGTGTCATGTAACCAAGTATCCATATGTTCACATATGCATCCACGTGCCTACACAATATATCCTGGACACTCCATTCCGTACTAGTCCCTGAAGTTAGAAACGTTTACAAGACACGTTTTAGGTTAGGTAGGTATCTCCTGCAAGCAATGCAAAAGCATGCAGAGCTATGCTGTGTGGAATAGCGTACTGTGTATAGCGTACGACAACAACGGTGCGCGTGTATTCCCTTCAGAAAACAGCTGTTACCGTTTACCTCGAAAATATTGAAGCTGTAGGGATACGAGATAAAGGAGTAATGCGCCATGGGAATATCCAGTGGGTTTACAATCGGTCATAGTGTACCGTTCTATATGTTCCACAGTTTATGGTTGACTATGCAGAGTCACGTGCTACGGTAATACCAGTTCGAGCGATAAGCAGTACTGCTAATATGACAGCTTCGAAAGAAGTCGCTTAACTAAGACTATAGGAAATTGGTAGCCTTGGTTGTAGGGTTCTGAATCGGTTGTGGACCTCCATGGGGAGAGTCCTGGTATTCCCAAGGGCACGGCTTTTTCCGTTGGTGGTAAGCGTCCTCGCCTCCTGGCTCCTTGGTACCAGGACAGAACCTGTTTGCTTGAGTTATGTCCAGCGTTCGGCTTCACGGACTGCGAAACTGATTACGACTCGAGTAATTAAGACGAATGCCACGTTGACAGTATACGAAGAAACTACAATGGCGGAAACTTCGACTTCCTGTATGAAATTCCTCTTATCGTTCGTATGCTACATAGAGGTAGATGCTTATTTTTTGTTAAAAATTTATATATATATATATATCTTTTTTTTTTTCTTACAGATTGACAAACCTGCTGAACGTTGATTACGATTGGAATTGGTACGGGTACCGAGATACATACGTTTTACAGGTCAGTCATTAAACGTCATTAAGGATCATAAATATCGAACGAATTCTCAATAGGCCAATTACCAGCAATCAATTTTTACCTTCGCCTTAAGGGACTTTCACACCTGAGGAGCACGTCCAGCGTCGCCGGTGTGATAATGGCGCTGACGGTTACCAGCAAAGTCGAGGAAGTCTTCCTCTCAGGAAGTCGTGTCTGGCTATAGTGTGGTATATGGCTGACTACTTAGCCATTGCTGTGTCTATGGTTGTGCAAGGAGTGACGTCAGGTATATAAAGGCTTGTACACAATGCGATTCATTTCGGTACGCGAAAGAGCGTGTAGACGAGGAACGAGTTAGTGAGAGATTCTGGCAGTAAGCCAACGAGCCATGAGGACTCGGCTTGTCTTTATTTCCTTTTTTTTTTTCTTCTTTTCACTCCTCTCTCAGTCTCTCTTTAACCCTTCCACTTATCTCTCTCTCTCTCTCTTCTCTCCTCTATACTCATCCTTCCAGGCTTTGACGCTACTCTTCTTCCCTTTTCTCTGCTGTAACGCACCTACAGTGTATAGTCTGGTCTATAGGTATTCTTCTCATTGTTATGCTCAAGGGCCGATATCGGGAACACGTTGCTCCTAGGGACATTTTATTCATGGTTACCATATAGACAGTCTAGTGATATTCAATTATGCTTTGTCGTTCGACCAATTAATTGATTTATTGAAATTAACTTTTAGGCGGCCGTTCCATCATCATGGAGGAAAAAGTGGAATTGCTGTTTAACGCGTGAAGTGGTGGCTATCGATTTGCAAGTGACAGAAGTGGGACGTCTGGACGGGAATGTGGTAGCGTCGAGACGTCCGGCGTCGGGCTCAATTGACTTCCGGGAAGACGTGAGCTGGTAATTGTTATGGAGCCCCATTGGCATTGCGAAGACCTCCAGGACTTCTTGATCATCTCCAGCCAAGTTCCCTGTAATGGATTATTTAATCAATCATGATACCTATACGTATGACAGTATAATATTACCAACTAAATACGTTAATACAAAATATTGTGTATTAAGGTAAAAACGTGAAAGACGGGCTGGACGTGCGAAATAAGAGCAGATAGAGATGCTACCATATGGTAACAGGGTTTTAATACATGAAATCGCATCCTCTGGTCCAGGACAGCATCCATAAGGGAACTGCCCGAGGTACTCGAAGTGAATCGGATTGGACTGTATAGAATTGGTGGTGATTTAAATTGGCTGGCCTCTCGACCTGCCATTTAACCCATTTACCACCTCAGCCCTGAATCTCTCGACTCCCTTTGTTTCTCTTTCATTCCTCCTTCTCTTTGACTCCTGGTCTCCATAGCTTTTGCTATTTTTCCCCTCCCATCCCCATTTTACTTATTTTTTTTTTTAATTGCCTCTCCTCGCTCGCTCTTCTCTCTCCTGTCCTTCGGACTTCATTGGCTGTCAGCCGCATCTATGCCTCCTTTGTGCTGTCGTTTGATCGAGTTTTCACGTGACGCATATATAGCTACGTTCCTGCTGCCAGTCAAGTCCTCACTTTTTTTATAGAAAACACGGAAGCAAAGTCTGCCCTAAATTGACCTTAGGTCATGAAGGATAAAAAATAACTAAAAAGGTACGTTGTCAATTTCATTAATTCCCCGGCGGAAATCGCCAAAGGCGTCGAAATCGACGATATCAATAAGGTACGGGGCCCCGGCGTATGCCTGTACGGTCATGGGGAGATTACAAAAGTGCGTTTCCACTCTTGGAAAGAAAGCAAACCGCAAAATTACACGATCCGATAAATTGGCGCGGTGGATGTGAAACGTAAATAAAAGAGGGCAAAACGCAGAGGCTGAGAAAAAGAGAGATAAAGAAGAAGAAAAGACTGACGAACAGTGAGCCTTCCTCGCGAAACCCAAAATTATTGGCTATCTTAACTGCCTTGCGAATTCACATCGCTAATTGAATGCTTAGCCTCGAAAGTCGATCGTATAGCAATTTATAGTCTGTAATTTTTTAAAATTTCTTTCCCCCTCTCTCTGTATCTCTCCTTCATCGCGTATCCCTCTGACGTTGATACAATCAATAATTTAAAAAAGTAACTCTACACGGATCTTCGAAGTAGACAGTGAAGCGTTGCCTTAAAATTGTTATCGACGCACCCTATACGTATCTGCGATACGTTCGCGTCGATTGCGCAAATGGAATTAAAGCCCATTTGCGGAGCCCACTTGCTGCCAATTACGGCGTAACACGCTGACGTAAACGCCTATAATCCATATGTGCGATATGGACGTCAAGACGTGGTTGGAGTTAGCGCTACGTAAGTATAGATCGTGTATAAAGTATTAGAGAGTTATTTTATATCGAACGCAGTATAGATGCGCATACGGATAATGCTAAGGTCAAAATAGAGTCTGATAGGCGTAATAAATATTTTTTTTACATAGTTCCAATTACGTAAACGACGGACCAAGTCAAGGCGTCGCGACGCCACTGGTCGCTCGTGATTTCTAATATAGTCGATTCGCGCTACGTGTTTCTCGCGTGCGTCAGAGATACGTTATCTCAGTAGCAGCGAACGCAAACGCTGTTCAGGAATCTCGCCATTGGCCAGTGATAAGAGCGATCATTTATAAGGGCAGGAAGTGACTCCAGAGGAAGTTGACATTGGCTCCTTCCTCAATTTTCGATACTCCCGTCGTACGGGAGTGCGCGTACCCAGTGAATTTGAGTAAATTTTTTTTGTTTAACCTCAAACTTCAAACTGATAATAATACTTGGCGATAGATAAGAGATTTCGTAGTATCTCTGTAAATCTCACCTTAAGGCCAAAGGACGTTCTTAACACGGAGACATCGATGCTGCGCTCCTTTGCGGTACGAACTTTCGACCCGTGAAAGTTTCCTCTTCGCTTTCCCGACGTCCCAGCCTCTCCAGGAGGAATAATCCTGGACCAATTTCCGATCGAGGGGACTCTGCGTCTGCTCCTAATGAAATTAGCAAAGCGTTCGAGCGTATCAAGGGCTGATTAAATAGAAGCCGCTCGCCCCCTTAACTGCTAGTTTTACATTCATTAACCAAGGATCGGAAATACGGAGAATGAAATTTTGGAAATTTTACAAAATTTTGAAAAAAAAAATTTTTTTACCTTTTTTCTCAATCTTCATCCGTGTTGTAAAGGTTTATTGGAATCTGTCTACAGAGACCTGGAACGACCCCTAGTACGTATAAGGGTTGATATCCAGGTCAGGTTCCTCACCTATATTACTGGTGGATGAGCAAATTGTATCCATATGTACAGAATATATATATATACTTACTGGTGCATACATATGTATTAAACTGATCCGATCGGGACATAGGACGATGCATATAGCACATGTGTTTCACTGCTGCACATGCATGTGCAGGCATGTGCAAGGTCGTGCCAGGGTTGGGAATTTAGATCGGGAAGGGTTCCCACCCCTGGGATTCTATTCTGGCGCTACCTGTGCGCTAGTTAAGGGTAGGGACGAAAACCCCTCGTGGGGAGATGCGCCTGTTACTATATATATATACAGTCCCGGGACATTCGAAAAGTTATCCTGTGCCGGGAAGTGGTAGGGGGTATAGGGTCCTATTGAAAAAAAAAAGGCAAAAATGAAAATTGACCAAAAAATATTTCTCTCAGCTACAGAACTAATTACGGATAAAATCGGCAGATTTGAGAAAAATTGTTGTATTGTTTACTTAAATTTTATAAAATGTATTTTTTTATTAAAATAAGGTGGAGGGCTCCGTGGCACTTATTAGCCATTATAAATTAAAACAGTTTGATTAACAATAGCATCAAGCGTGCAACCCTCTGAATGACGTATGTCATATATATATATATATGTATGCAGAGCAGGTCCCAAGGTTTGAATTCCATTCGACCAGTGACCACATATGTGCCTATACCACACACGTGTACTACATAGAGCGTGTATACGCGGAAGAGCAGGAAGGGTGGTTGCGATTCGGGGTGCAGAAACGAACCCCTCGGCACTGTGGGAATTTGTAATTGCACGGTGGTGCCAGTGGGGAGTTTTAGCTGCGAGAGAGAATCGGAGCGTCGTGCTCACAGGGGTGGTTTTTACTAAGGGTTAGGGTAGGACCTGGATACGGGGATTCCCCGGGAAAACTGATTCTCCATTACGGCATGCAACGCGCCCGGCATACAAAACGCCTACCGACAATGAATCCAGTCGAGAGTGTCAAACCGAGAAGACGCGGCAATTTTATTTTTTATTCAAAAAAATTAAATGATTAAAAAGTTTCAATGTACGAAAAAAAAATCAAATTTCTCCATAACAATGCATGGATGGAAATTCATAGCGTGTGGAAAGTGAACGTATGAAAGGGAAGTTTCTCCAATTTATTTAGTTCAAAGGAACGCCACCAGGGAAAGGATAAGAGTTATCGGCTGCAAGGATCTCGACCGATCCGAATTATTAGTTTCGGAATTTGACTATTTTCAAAGTCAGTCTGTCTTGGGGCACCGATCGGGGCGTCTCGAGCTGCCTCGGGCTCCTTGTTTACAGTTTTTCTAGTCGCGTTTCCTATACGGCACAGCAAGTTTTCGCGTTGCTCAGTATCCAGAAAATCCTACCGATTTCCTACGCGTCTTTCGGTGGTCCAGCGTTGTGCTACAGTGCAGTGATCTGTGGGAAGTCACTTGGATGCAGTTCTGGACCTTCGCGTAGTAGCCGAATCAGCTCCGGTGAGTACTTTTGGTTTATTAATCGGTGGAGGGATTTTGATTTTACAGCTCCGCTTCGGTCTGCTACGATTTTCGATCAATTTATCTGTTTCCGGTATTATTCGGAAAAAAAAAAAAAATTGGCTGGCGCCCGTTTGGCATGCAGATACGTGGACCAAGGATGACGTATGCTAGTTTTCGGATTTTCGTTATCGGTATCGAGTTAAGAAAATACGTTACTATATATATATATATATATATATATACCAGAATGCTTTTGGTCATCACAGTTCGACCCTAAATGACGTATAAGAGTCTCTCCTTACTCCGAGCTAGTCTATCATCCTTTTTCATCCAGAATGCTTTTGGTCATCACAATGCTAGTTTTCGGATTTTCGTTATCGGTATCGAGTTAAGAAAATACGTTACTATATATATATATATATATATATACCAGAATGCTTTTGGTCATCACAGTTCGACCCTAAATGACGTATAAGAGTCTCTCCTTACTCCGAGCTAGTCTATCATCCTTTTTCATCTGTTCGTACAGCATAGCCATGCTTAAGATTTTCATCTCTCTCGTGTTCACACATATTCAGCTGAACCATCCACAGCCTCCTTCTCCCTGTTCGTAGACAAGCTCTCCTCTGGCTCTCCCTTCCGCCATGTTTCGTGACTGGCTTGTCATAACCACATAATCGTATAGACGGTTCCAAACCTGCTTCTCTCCCATCCCTTCCCGCTTACGTTCATTGAGACCTCATTCATATGCATACCCGGCTGTATAGGAGCCACAGTGTAAAATAGCTTATTACCCTGATGCCGCTTAAAGAGGGGTCTCGGTCAGGGTAAGAGTACACGGGGATCCACGGATTAGACCTTCCGGAGACCGTAATAGTAATTTTTTTGAAAAATAATTTTTTTCATAATTTTAAGATCTTATCATCTTACTCGATTAATTTTAGAATAAATTTTCTAATAATTAATTAATTTGGATGCCCTTATATGGCGACCAATTAGTTAATTTAGAGAATTTTGTGAAATTTTTTAATTTTTCTTTTTCTCAAAGTACACTTATTAGTTTTGAGGATGTAACGAATCTTCTGGAAATTTGATAGCGTTGCTTCGCGTTAGGATAGGGTGTCAGGCGGAAGAGAAAGGAAAACAAAAAAAAAATGAAAAGAAGAAGAATCGGTGAGGGGAATGTATTTTTGAATGGTTGACAGTAAGTGTGGGTCTCCTGGGAATCATTGAATTCACAGCTTCCGGTCGGCTTAATACCTCCAATTATAAGACATTGTCCCGTTACGAATCCCCGGGCCTTGGTAGATTCGATTGTCCTCTTCTTTCTTGAGTATTAGTTGCGATTTATAAAACGTGTACAGTTGCTTCGCACAATCGACACAGTTGACACAGTTGACACATGTCACTCAGAATAGGTAAGAAAAAAAAAAGAGAACTGGAGCCAGTTGCGTGTGAGGATCGAAATGAAAAGTCCTTTCTCATACGTCGCCGGTAACCCCCTGTAAATGAAAAAAAAAAAAAAAAATTCACATATATTTTGTATAAAAAAAAATCAAAAATAAAAAAAAACAATAGCTCGAATTAAACGAATTCGCTGCTATCGACCGAGTATAAATATCGAAATCCTTATCAGTATCTGATCTGTCATTATTATTTCATAAACAGCATATATATATATATATATATATACCGAAAGATAAGAGAATATTAGATAACGCTCAGAGAGCCGAGTATTACGATAAGGCTTATCAGTCAAGATACAAATTGATAATTGCACGAAAGAAAGACAATCGAATAATTATTTTTCAAATAAGTCCAAAAAAAAAAATGGTGAATCTATAGAAAATCAATATTATCGTATAATCAGGTGCGAGGATACGTGATAACCGATGCGCGTGTAGTATCGATGGACTTATCGTTTGTATACCGTGACAGGTTTACCACAACGTCAATCATGCAAAAGGCGTTAAAGTAAGAATCTTTTACGAGGTGCGTTCCCTGGACTTTTACGTTTGTACAGTTGGTAGAAAAAATATATACAGATATATACACCTCGATGTACTCAATTACGATAAGTCAAGTGACTAGAGATCTAAAGTATTCTCGCAGTCGATAGTTGATACAGGTATGCAGACGTGAACGTAGCGTCCTAGAGTCCCGGAGCGAGGAAATGTCAAAAGTCAGCGATAGGCAACGGTAACGCATGTAATAATTCATGATAATTTTTTTAACAGGGAATTTAATTTTTACAAAACACTATATAAACTTTTTTTTTAACTTTGAAAGTCCATAAATTACAAGCAGGTATGCCAACGTAATAGCCATGATGATTAAGCGTGCTATAAAGATCAGCCTTAATCAATATGGCTACCGATGATCATGGTGATCCTGGTGGCGCAGCATCATCTGGCGGACTGTCGAGAATTAACCAGTACGCGACATTATGATCAGTCACTGTCTCCTGGACGTAAAGCGCGTCGAATTCAGGGCAGGTGTCTGCCTCGGGGATTATGACTAGGCTGCATTTACACGGGATCAATTTCGCGCACGTGACTTGATTCAGCAAAAAATTAAGAGCGCACCGTGCAACCCCGTTGAGGTTGGTATCACTGGTGTGGAGCGTGTAAAAAAAAGGCCACGAGTAAACGATTATACGTGCACGTCTCTCTTACGCAATAAGGCGTAACAACTTTGTACGCGAGAGTGCCCAAAACAGCCGGTACATATAATTACATAATATGCCAATCTGCATTATCTATAGTTAGCATTAAAATAATCTGGCTTATCAAAGATACGGATAATGACTCCGAGTCATTTTGAATCATTGAAATTACTGATATTTCGCTAAAGTATATGCTTACCGGTGGTAATTTACGTGTCCGTAGGTACCGAGTATAGGTAGGTATATATGCATACGGAGATGGGGTTAGGAAAGGGGATATCGAAGATCCAGGTCGACGTCACAGAGTTTCGGGCGAATTCGCATTGAAGAAGGGAAATACATTATACGCTGGCGACGAGCCAAGAAAATCGGAGAAATCCTAGCCCGCAGTGTACGTACGGTACGCGATACCCGATATGGGCGAGTTCACACGTGGCTAAAGGTATATATCCACGTACGTGGATGCATTTGGTTAGGTACTTACGGTGAGGATAGGTAGTTTCATGTAAACGGTGGGACTGCCCGTTCTCTCTCTTGGCCATAACTGCGGCTCGGCTGCCTTCGTAAACTTAATCTGCTGTATACAGCAGCCCAGCAAACGACGCTGTGGATTGCTGAACTATTTTCATATGCTTCGGGACATTTCGTCTACGCCTGCACTACTGGATCACTGTGACAGCACGTTTAGGTTATGTTAAAAGACTGCACTCTGGTAGGTGTATCCTTGTATTGCTCGGGGAGGCGCAAATATCTTTACCTACCTTCCTCTCTGCCATACCGACGACGCCTAGTGGGCGCCGGGAGGATCGTGTTTCCACTCGTGTCCTGACTGTCGTGAGCATTAATTTCCATGGCAAATCCGCCTTCCTTTGACAGAGCACCTTTTTCTCTTTCTATTTTCACATTTCTCTTAACCTTTTTGTTACTCGAGGCAACGCGAGTCTGTGCGCGGAAACGTGCGTGAGGAAATACGGCGACGGAGTCTCGTTACTTGTTGCTTTTGACGATCACTTTTCTTGGTAATCTCGCGGGACGCTCGGTAAACGACACTGGGGATATTACTTTACTAGGGAATTATCCCCCTAGCGGGAATAATACGAACTCGTACCAGCTGTCCCTTGACGTTCAATTGGAATATCAGTGTGTGCGGATTTAGTTTGGATTTATTTATTGCAACGTATTTAATACTCGTAAGCGCCATTAGCTGGCTTGCGGTTCCAGCTTCTCCTTCCTGGGACAAAAATAGCCAAGAGATTGCGATTGAGTCGCACGCCGTGCGGAGTCGTATTTACCGTCGTTTAATGTTCCAGGAATCTTCGTTAAACTGTCCAGACGTAATGCGTCGGGTATGTCGTGAATGTCCCGTAGGACGGTGCCAAGGGTCAATCTCTCTTGGTGCGATCCTTGCCAGTGGTAATCGGCGTCGTGTTTTACTGCGCGAGTGAGTGAAATAACGTGCGATAAGGAGAGACAGACAGCGGATAGTCCTGAAAGGTTTTCACCAGTCAGTAAGTACCTAGATAGGTAGTTCCGAAGAGTTCTCGAAATAACACGAGGTGACCTCGATGTTCCGCGGTTCGGCAAGCTCGGTGGTTCCGTGGTTGGTCGGTTCGCTTGGCTCCAAGCCCGACGTTCTCGCTCGACCTTCCTGAAGCCACGAACTGGCCGTTCCCTTCGTCTTGGAACAATCGGAACCGCGGTTCGGGAATTCGTACCCTAACCTGTGACGCGTACGTGTGACTGCGACCGTTGGCAGGCATCGAGAATAGAAAATAAATAATGACTCTCGAGACGATCGTAATACCATTACGTGGCTTTTGTAAGATTTTGTTTGAGTGTTCTTTTACGCAACGTAGAAATACGAAATAGGCACACTTTCTCTTGATGGCAAATGTCATTGGGAATCGATAGGCCACTGCGGATATATTGGCCAAAAATATATTGCGCGTTAGTTTTTCACGATCGGACTGTATGACTGTATGTATATATTTATACGGAAAGTATTTATAGCAATGCCGGAATGTATTTCGGGCGGTTTTATGGCATTGCGAAAGGGTGGATAATCGCTTGCAGATTTCTACCGCAGAATTGCAAACTGCCTTTACGTTCACTTCGGTATGTGCGGCTGGGTCTGCCAGCCGAAGGCAAAAGGCAGGCATTTAATCGGCTGATCGATCGCCGAGGCCGCTGCGTCCTATCGCCAGGTTAACGTAGATTAGGTTATGTTACCGGTGCGTTAACATTTTTTTTTAGTATGGTATTCGTGGAACGTGTTTAGAAGATTTTTCCTCGATATTTTGAGTGTAGGTAATTTTTCTTTTTAATTTTAGACACGCTGCGCTCTGGGTATCATTTCTTTTATCTAAGAGGACTGCTATTTTTTTTGTTCGATTTGTTATCCTGCGCCTGTTCGGGATCTACGGAAGGATCACTTCCTTCTATTCTGTTACGTGAATAACGATTTTATTCTACAAGGAGTCTGCGGGTCTCGTCTTTCCTTCCTTCTCTTACGTATATTGTATCTGAGTCCTGATCCTGACACTTTAGCCACCTCCTACTTCTCGCAGCTTCAGGACTTTTCGCAGGATACTAATACCTGCTTCTAACCTTGTGGTCTCCTGGTGGATCCTGGCAGTAGCGCGTGCGGGAGACACGCACTAGGAATACGCCGATGGAGTTCTGGAAGTATTGACAGGACTTACAAAAAAAAATCATCGGATTTGAAAAAAAATAAGTGTTTACAAAAAAAAAAGAACTCGTGTCCTCTTAGAACTTTTTTTTTCGGCAAATATTAATTTTTTGTAAAAATCCGAACATTTGGCAAAAAAATGCCATTATTTTGTACGAAAAAGTTTTTTCGTTGTCAAAAATCGATTGTCGACGTGTTTAAAAAGTTGATTGTTGCGATAAAAAAAAAAGAGAAATCACGCAATAATAAGAATCCAATATAAACAAGTGTAATCCCATTTTTGTAATCTCGTCGAATAAAGCAGCAGCTTGCCTTCCATTAGGCACAGCACAGAGCGTAGCGACGCGTCACTGTACGGTTAGTAAATGCATTTGCTCATTACCCATAGTACCTAGTGGTCGTAGGGGGTGAAAACTCACCCCGTACTAGGGTAACGCCAGGATGCTTTGCCCTGTCACCCCTGTTGCGTTTTATGTCATTGGGCTTTGAGGGGGAGGGGGAGGGGTTCACAGGAGGCAGAAGGGTCGACCGGAATCGTAAGGGCGCTCGCGGTGTTTATCGACTGCGTCGCGTGGCGCCGGCGCCTATGTCACCCCCCATTTTCATCTTCTCACACCCGACAGTCCCGCACCATCGTCCAGGCGCCTGGTCCTTTATCTCTCCTGTCTTAAAGGCACCCTCACAACGTGAACCGCCAGTGCGCTGCACAAGGTACCGGTCATTTCAAAATGGCGAAATACCTAGACTTGTCCACACGCCCAATAAAAAGGGTCGTAATAAAAAAAATTCAAGCCAATGAATTGTCAAAATTTATTAAAAAAAAAATACAAAAATCGAGTCGACGCGTCTAATCGTAAAAAAAGGTAATTTTACTTCGCTGTAATTTTATTTCAGAATTTTGAATTTCAAAGAAAAAAAAACAAACACACGGATCGCGCAATCCCAAGAAGGCCGTTTGGATAGTTAGAAGAAGTTCGTTCTGGTTGATGGTACATTTTTTGGATAGGTTGGTAATACTGGTAGTGCCCGGG